TCTTATTATTCGCGTGTTTTGTGTAAGCGCGCACGTTATAAACAATGGCGAGCAATATTATGTATATATTTTTGTTGATACTCTCCCTTACATTTTTAAATGTTTAAATATAGGAAAATGTTATTGCATACGCATGGAAACCAATTCCATCTGTTTCTGCCCCCGCACTTGACTATGATGATCATGACAAACACGTTTATTGGTTGTTAAACGTACCACGTTTCTTGATTATTACAATTAAAACGTTGCTCCTATGTGTATTGAGTCACGTTTAAACAACGGCAAAGACGAAAAACAAAAGCGTATGGCAGGAACATCACATTTTAACGTTCAATTATCAGTCACAATTAAAACGCCACAAAAAATTATGTCAAACGAACGCCATCTACTAAACGTTAAGAAGATGAATAACAAGAACTCGTTACATTCACGTTTAAAGAGTGATGTTATACTACTAACATGCGTTAAAAGTCACTATAGTGTACACGAATTAAATGTAGCTATCAAAACATTGGTTAAATGTTACGGCAATGTACCAACTTAATGTTTATAAACCCCTCTGTTGTGACGTTACAAAACGTCCATGTTACGTTCCTTTGTTACTGGACAGGGACATCACATTTTAACGTTCAATTAACAGTCACAATTACAACGTTACAAAAAATTATGTCACACTAACGCCATCCACTAAACGTTAAGAAGATGATAACAAGAACTCGTTACATTCACGTTTAAAGAGTGATGTTATACTATTAACATGCGTTAAACGTCACTATAGTGTACACTATGTAAATGTAGCTATCAAAACGTTGTTTAAATGTTACAGCAATGTACCAACTTAATGTGTATAAAACCACTCTGTTGTGACGTTACGAAACGTCCATGTTATGTTCCTTTCTTACTGGGATCTGTTATACCAACCCACCGTACATAGACGTACCTACTAATGTGTGAATTGTCTATCGTTAACCCTGCTTGTTTTACATATTTTGCAAAAATTCGTCGTAGTAGTACGAAAAATTATGTCTATTACTTGTAAGGAATAGGTATTCAACGCTCGTGAAACTTTCCACTCGCACGGAATACACTCTATTCCATACTCGTTATAGAATATACTATTTTGTATGCACTTTTTAATCCTGAACAACTTTAAACTCTACAGTTTTTTTCTGTAAAATGTACAGGAGGGCAGGATATTGCATAAAACTAATTTCCCATGTTAAATCCCTGTTTCTACATACCGTGCACCACCCGGTATAATAACAGCCAACATTTTTAATTCCCTGAAGTATCTGATCCATAATTGCTTGAAACTGTGTAAAAAAAGTATGGTAATAGTCTACCGAGCAGGAAGCGTTGCTATCTCAAGTCTACCACCCACACAATATGCATAAAAAATTATTCGCTTGAACGTATTTCTACAAAGATGAAATTTTTGTTGGAAAAAGTTGATGTCATAGGAAACCAAAAAAAATGGTCTACCGATCGCGTGATGTTGCTAAGGTCTCGGTAGACACGCTGGAAGGTACGATTTTCCGAGCGCAGCTGCTGCACTGCTCTGCTAAAAGTACTTCTAAATTATTATGTACACGGGCATAAAATAAAAATATTTCGAAAACGAACATAGGCAATTAACGTGGGAAAAGGGTTTTTTTGCAGATCGTTGCTCCCCATGATAATTTAGGCCTTAGCGTTTTATAATGATATCAATCGAAAGAAGATTTTTTTTCTTTATCTAATGATATATGAATTAGTTCATTTTCAGTTGTATTTCTCATGATTAACGATCCTCGAGATTGTTTATAATTTTGTATTGCTGTCTGTCTGTCAGTTCGTCTGTCCGTGTACACGATAACTTTGTGTAGAAACGTCCGATCGCTTTGAAAATTGAAACAGCTGTTCTTAAGGATATAAGAAAAGTCGCTTTTGTTTTTCAGCTACGTAGACTAACGGGGCAAAAAATTACAGCCCAAAAACTGCTCAAACCTCCAAAAAAGGGCTTTTTTATAATTCTTGTTACAAAGAACATGTGAATGCCCGGTTTTCTGTGTTAGTAAATGTCCCTTAAGCTCCAGGTAACTATGCAGATGAATTTAAAAAAGATTGCGCATGCGCAACCCAACTTTTGTATTTGCGCATTCCCAATTTTCTTAACTCGTTATCATATTTAATTGAATATGAATATGTAGCCACCTCGAGTAAAAGTAAAACTAAAGAATCAAAAAAATTGTTTTGGGCATGCGCAATCTTGTTTTTTTGTTAAGATTTTTAAGCAAAACAACATTTTGAAATACATCTACTTTTCAGATTTCCTTTAGACAGTGGCCCATATGAATAAAAAGAAGCATATGCTTATACTTGCAAAATTCAAAGTAAATACTCGTAAGTGCCCCCTCAAACTGGGCGACTTAGCAGCGCTGGTTAGCCATAGGACGGGACGCAGTGCAGAGCTGCTGAGCAGCCCAGTGTGAAGGGGCACTTACGAGTATTTCCTTCGAATTTTGCAAGTATAAGCATTTGCTCCCTTTTATTCTTATGGGCTAGTGAATGATGAGGTAGATGGATTTCGTTTATAGGAAGTGTTGAATCTGTCTGGAGTAAAATGTATATAATTTCAGTACTATCCGCCACAAAATATATTAAATGTGTGTACGCCATTGCGCTTATGAATGTCCGCCATATTGAGAAGCCTAACAGGATCCTAGCTAATAATACATAAGCTCCTTCTTTAGTCTTTTAGTTCAATGTATTCAACCAATTTCTACCCAGTAGTGAATGGTATAAACTCAATTTTAGACAAGACGACTAACGGCGCAAATCATACTTGACATCGGACCAATTAGTTATTTATTATAAAAGACCATAAAGGGATATTGTAACTGTTGATTGAATTAACATTTACGAGATGGTAAGTTTCCCTTTATCGTGGTGTATAATACAAAACTTAATTTTATAGAAGAAGAATTCTGAATTTAATTTAGAGACATCAAAAATAGCAAGCTTAGGTTCTGTCGACGCGATGGTTTCTATAGAAACAGAATTGTCACATGTTCTGAATGTCATTTTATGTGGTGCCTTTGAAATAAGAATGACAGAAGTCATTAGAATGCACAATCATCTGTTTCACTTTATCTACCCTCGTTTTTTTCGCATTTGACTTCAATTATCTCATTAACTATTGCTCTGAAGGCAAAATGAAAAGAAATCAATTTGTTTAGAATCGAATTTTCTATCAGATACAGTGTTGGTCCGGAACATTAAGTTTAAAATGTTGTTCTTTTTTATGGAAAAATATAACAAGTTAAAAAGTAATCGTAAACGATTTACATAAAGCGCATTTCCACTTGCATTCATTTCCCATTTGTAAGATGCAACTTCTGTTAAAATCGTAAAAATCCGCCCACAAATATGAAAGATAGCGTTGCACATGGGCAATCCATTGTTGGCGTGCTACTTCAATTTCAGTTTATGAGAAGAATTTCATTTCAATGCTTTTCTAAATAAGAAAGTTGGAACTGCGCATGCGCAAACCTAAATTTTAAAACTAATTTACTATAACTAACTAATAAACTAAGATTTTCCTTTGTTGCAAGCGCCTAAGTATCAAATTTCACTTAAATAGTTCCATAGATAAAAAAGTTGGCACGGCGCATGCGCAAAATAAAATTTTGAAACTGGCGCTAGATTTTCCTTTATTCCAAGTGCCTATGTATCAAATTTCGTTTAAATTCTTCCATAAATAAAAAAGTTGGCACTGCGCATGCGCAAAACCAAATTTTGAAATTGGCGTTTGATTTTCCTTTATCCCAAGTGCCTATGTATCAAATTTCGTTTAAATTCTTCCATAAATAAAAAAGTTGGCACTGCGCATGCGCAAAACCAAATTTTGAAATTGGCGTTTGATTTTCCTTTATTCCAAGTGCCTATGTATCAAATTTCATTCAAATACTTTTATAAGTAAAAAAGTTTGCAATTCGGTTTATAAATGGTCGAGATGCGAAAAGGGCACTGTGAATTTTGAATCGATTCGATTCAACTTTTGGCATTGCGTATTATATGGCTAAATCTATGCCCATATTGAATTTCATGCAATTCAGTTCATAACTAACGGAGATGTAAAAGCGATCGAACATTTCTAAACAAAGTTATCGTTCACACGGACAGATAGATGGACAGACAGACAAAGGAACAGACGGACAGACCAACCGGCAGGCGACAGATAGCAATGCAAAATTATAAACGATCTCTAGGATCGTTAATAAACGGCAAAAGTGTAAAATTATGGAACATGTAAAAAACGGTTTTTTTTTTTTTACAATAACTTTTTTTGTAAGCGGTACAGAAAAAATTCCTTCCTTGGTACAAGACTCGACACCATAACGAACCAAATAGCGAAAAAAGTAGAACAATAGCTCTTAAGATAAAAAACTAGTAGCGTCGCAAAGTTAGCGGACGGACGGACGGACGGACGGACGGACGGACGGACAAAGTGGCCACAATAGCGCATTTTTTTTTTATTTTTGTGGAAATGCGCTAAAAATGTAATCTCGAAAATTAAAAATTTATTATTACCAAGTAAAATTCATTCGTTCTTTTTGAAAATCCGTATTTGGTCACTTCTTTTGATAACAAAACAATATAATCACCGTAGGGTTTATAATTATTGCATAATTAAATAAACAAATTTAGAAAACGTTGCTTTGTCTTTCAAACTGGATGATTCTCAGACCGTTCTCAATTTTTTTTATACATAATGGAACCTTAAAACAACCTTTTCCAAAAATTGTCCTGATGATTATTGCAAATCGACTGTGCCTTGGTTAAAAGGTGATTCGTTTGTAGAACTTGTAGGTAATGGTATAAGCGGAATCAGTTGATAATAATTTTATATCACGCCTATTACTGTAGAATGTAGATCTTGCTGGATCTCAGCAAAGATGTTTGCCCGACGGCCAACCTATACGTAACAAATAGGGGTAAGAATAATGTACTGCGAACTCTTAGAGTCAGTCGATAATAATTTAATAAACGTTTGTGTTTTCAGTTCCCAATATACCGTACAAATTTTAATTTATGCTCTTAGAGAAGTTAATAACAATATATTATGTATATGGCACAATAATTTTCAGGAAAAAAAAACATATTGAAGTGGTAAAACACGAGTAACACAAAATACAATCTGAAAATAGAAGTATAAACCTACTGCTGTGGCTATTACAGATACACGCTTATTTAAAGATGGAGAAGCAGATTATTCTTGTAACAAAAATATTACAATACTGATAGTAAAAACAATTACGGGTGTGGTTAAATGGAACGATCCACTGTTAAAGACTCCCGTTCCTTTGTTATCATTATCAAAAACTCTTCCAAATATACCAAATGTTAATAAATTTGTTTGGTTCGTTGTCGCAATTGTTGCCACCACCCTACTTTCATTGATAGCTTTTCGGCAAAACACAAAATTATGTATTGGTTGTAAATTGTGATTCAATGTAGTAGGGCTGTCTTGAGCGTTCCTGATATTTTTGAAGTTGCCCTTTACAAATATTGTTTCGAACACTACACCGTTTGGAGGATCGTTACTCCTTTCACCACAGGAACTACTGCTTTCATTTAGGCACGCTACGAGACTGCAAGCGCGAACACCAATACTTTCTTTCAATACATGTTTACCGCCATTAAATACAGCCAACCTGTAATGACAAGGGACGTTGTTACATCATAGTATCGTGTACTAGTGAGTTACCTTAGGTTTGTATGCGCAGTAAGCGTCACGAGTGAATTCTTCCAATGGCGGAGTAAAAACTTTACAATTAACGAAGTTGTTAATAGACATAGGGTTTCGCCAGGCAGAATCGAGTCTCACACGCCACCGCTCATCAACCTAAATTAGCTCACCAGTACTTTACAATGGATCATACTTGTAAACGTAATTGGAATTGGCGATAGGTTTATTCAGTGTCACATTAATATAGCAACACGAACCTTCGCCGCTACAAGCAAATTCGTAAATTGCAGTTTGGTTCAGATTTAGTGTTTTAAAAGTATAATCTGACAGATCTTCCTTCAACGTTCTAAATTTATTAATATCGATCATACTTTCAATTCCAAAATGCGTACTTTTCTCTTCTGTAAAATTCACTGCTTTCTAAAAAAATTGAAGTATGAAAGACGTTGAGTATGTGCACCACCGTACCTGACAAGTATCCGGCGATAACCGTTGCGAAAGAACTGGAACGTCAGTTATCAACATCTTCGATAATTTGGCACCAGATACGTGGATATCGGCAATAGTTCCATTCGCAAGATAGATACCACTACCCCCTAAAGAGGATGTTGGGTTATTGTAACCAGATGCCAGTAAATTTACACCGTTTGCACGTGCATAACCTTGTTGCACACTCGCCCCTAAAACATGTCATGCTAATAAAAAAATATACATACATCGCGATAGCTACCTCCAAAAAATGGTAACAGCGTAGCCCACGCCGCGGAATACAAAATATCGGTTACATGTTCATCTCGTAATACAGATAATGAAGAATTTCCAAATAAGATATCGTTACAAATGATCACACCGAAGGTGACACCAAAATCGGTTTTAAATGTCGCAGTTACATTACCCGGTGCTACATAGCTTTCGTTATATAAGTTCATCTTCCTATACCTAAAATATGATACAGTTTAAATCATGCACATGCAGTTAATTTGCTTATACCTGGCCACAACAGTACCGCCCCTATTAAAAATAACATTCGTGTTGTGGAAGATGTTGCTCTTAGAGACTCTTTCAAATATGTTTATAACAACGTACATAGCGTTTGTCGCGGCAGCGCAAGATAAATCTATAAGGGCCTAAATACCAAGAGAATTGGAGATTTAGAAAGATTGTTTCTAACCTCACCTTTGAGTAATTGGCTGAATTGGTGCATGGCGATATTGAATCGTCGGGATTTGGAACTTCAGTGCTTACTTCGCTTAGGTCTCGGGGATCGATATTCGCTCCCGTTAGGCCATATTCTGGAAACAGTATTATATCCACGTGCTGTAAAAAAGGTAATTGCATGGTATAAATAAGAAAGCGTAAAGGTGCGAGATAGACCAAATTAGCTATTTAGTTTGGTAACCGCGGAGACCCTGGCCAAAAAGGCATTTTGATAAAAAGCAAAAGCTATTTACATTTTTATAATTGGGCAATTGAGGGTTTCAAAGATCATCGCAAAGTACTACCTGATCAGCTGCATCCTCTATGTAATTGAGGTAGTCTTCCACATTTTCTAATACGCGATTTTTAGGCGTGTCCGCTGTTAATTTCGGGGTAAACTCGACAACAGCCGCTTTGTAAGTGTTCTACAACATAATTACATCAGATTAAAGATTAAAATTATAACGTACCTGTCCGTAAATTTCCAAGATGAAGATGTTTGCATACAAAAAACAAATAAGGTAAGGTATTTTAGAATTCATACTTTAAGGACGCCGGTATTCACTTCACGCCTGTGTTATCTGGAATGAAGAACTGTGTTGCTGATAATAGAAGCAAATTTGAGTACCTAGTGATAAGTGGATAAGGTAGGAGATACAAGCTTTATCAGATCCCTGTGTGAGTAATAACTAATAATACAGAATACGTTCACAATGACTATTTACGAGCTGGTTTTCATGTTAAATCTGGGCTGCATTATGTTTGAAATAAATGACAACGATACAAAAATATGGAAATATTGTAGTTGTTTTGCAATTATGGTAAAAAATACGTAATTATCAAAAATTCACATTCTTTCGTTGTGATATTGTAAAGTTATCTTAAGTCGACAGACAGATGAATTGCATATTGCGCAGTGGAAGAAAATGGAGGTCCGAGGTACTGTCGTGTGTCGTCGTCCGACTCGACGAACAAGCGAGCTTGTAATTTTTTTCACGAGATTCGACGGTATTATTTTTAGCCGTTATGTTTCAATAGTTTCAATTTCCTAATTAGTAAATTCATAAGGTGCATATAATCATTGTTTAAATACTGATATAATTATGTAAGTGTCGCGCTTCCAGCCTCCATTAAAATTAGTGATAAGCGGACAATCACAGTCCGTATAAAAATAGAGCTCAAATTTGTACCTGTAAATTTACCATCGAATAACGAGAAACTTACGACAGTGCCTTTGAAATTATTGCTGGCGTTTATATTATTATTGCTGCGTTGTATTTCCATTCTGCTAGCAATTTTGTATTACCAAACCGGGGCTTTGGATGGGTTTCTAAGATCTAAAATACCCATTGATCAATAGAAGATATCCACTGCACGTAGGCGCTTTGAACCCGCTGACAAATTGAAATCCAATCCGCTGACAATTGAAATCCAATCCGATAAACGAAGATAATGTCGACGAACTAAAACCGGCCCCACATTTAGGTACATGGCAAACTACACGAACGTTGGGGTTGAGTTTGCCATATAAAGGTGCGTACTCACTTGCAACAAAATGCCTCCAACGAACCAAACGTGCCGCGCCCGCTGTAACAAATTTGTCGTCAGAATGTTGACACAAACAGAATAGAATGCGCCAAACATTTTCCAATTTTGATGGGAATGCAGAAAATACCGCAAACTCTACAAAGAACCCAAATTTCCCCCGCAAAATGTTTGTTGGAATCTATTTAGCGCGCGCCTCCTGAATATTTTTTTTACATTGTCGCTTAGTTCCTTTTTACCATCGCCACCACTTGCGCTTGTTTAAGCTCCTTTAGTGAGCAAAAAAAAATAAAAAATTTTGTTTTCGCCATAGAAGTTCCGGACGGGGTCTCTGGACAGCGAAAATGAGATTTTTAAAAAATGTCTGTATGTATGTGGGTGCGTATGTGAAGGTGTGTTGTGTGCATGTGTGTAACGCTTTCTTGTCACCACGATACCGGTCGCAATTTTGATAGTATCGAGTTGAATTTTGGTAGGTAGTCCTCACGGAGATCTGGAAGCCTATTTTTTTTTGGTGAAAAACGAAAAGCGCGTGTCAGAGTTTTCGCGATTTTTTCGAATTTTTCCGACCAAAGTCAGTGAATAGTTTTTCATTGCCTTTGCGGCAGGCCATACAGAAATGAAGAAATTTGTTCTTATTGATTTAAATCCTTCTGCAGAGGAAAGTTCTGCAAGGAAAAGAGAGAGACCCATCAATTGGTCGATGTATGTGCTTTGTCAGACTCACACTTCAAAAGATCTGCGGGACCCGTCGTTAAACAAACGAGCCAAAAAAGATGATGGGTTTGAAACCCTTACCCGAAATCTCCATGAGTTTCAGCTGTGGAGTAGGGTTCCTTATGGTGCAAATGTGCATGCACTCAGTGCTGGTCAGTGTATCAAGACGAATTTGGCAATAAATACTGCAAAGTAGCATCAAAGTTATTATCTCAAGTGCTCTGATAGTAAATTGGACCGGATCCTGAAAAGAGAAAACTCTTAGAACATCCCGTCAGTGACCTCTAAACCTGCGTGCACTCGCCTAAGTGTTGGAAGTAGCTCTTCTGAAAGTGGAAGGGACACCTGCCCCTTTTATGATAAAAAAGTTACAAAGACTTATCCTCTACAAAAAATTGTCCACTGAAGGTGGAAAGAAAATGTTCGATATTTCATTATAAAGAGGTGATTCTAAAATAATACTGTGTTTGCAAAACGTGAGAGGACGTTTAAAAGAAGCTTGGTACTACAAAAAATGCAGATCTACTACTACTACAACATGCAAGAGAGAAAAACAGATACTTATAGGCCAGTAAATGAACGTGGAATACGGCGATACTGTGTAATTTTCCGCGTCTCCACCGAATCGGATGAAAATTTGGATTTAGGTTCTACTTACCCTCCACTTCAAACTTGAACTTGAGCCCAGGGTTGCTTTTACTTGGGGGGGTGAATACCACCCCTTCTCGGGGGGGGGGGTATATAGCTTATAAAAAAACAAACAAAATGGTCTAATATGAAGTCTGTAGACCCAGTAGAATCAAAGTTGTAGCTCATGAAAAGTAGGTTCTCATTCGTCAAATTCCAAATCGAGTACTTCAACGCGAAATAACCAAAAAATGAAGCACTTTTCGGGGAAAACTTATGAATACTTTTTTAAAGTGTTTGAAAAAACCTTTCATTTTGTTTTTAAGAAAAGTTCCTAGCATCAAAACTAAGTGAGTTACGCTCAAAATAAAGTTGGTCCTTTTTTTTGGTAAAAAAAATTGAGGAAATCACCCCCTAATTAACATCCTAATTGTAATTAACTTGAGGAAGAAGGCGTCATGGCTTCAGTACACTCCTCGCGTCTGAAGCAGGAGGTGCTCAGTAAGTGCCCGTTTTTAAAGGTGTCCGCTACGAGTGGCCAGAATTCTCTGCTCAGATTCAGAACCGACGGCGATGTAACAATCCGCTCTATGGACAAATGCAGGCGTGCAATATTTGCCCGATTAAATAGAGCAATTGAAGCCATCCCTCCTACCACAGATGCGGTGTTGCAGCATTGCAAAAGAGTTGCGTATCGCTGCCTGGTTTGGAATCAACTCTACAAAAAACAACAAGATCTTCCATCCCCAGCTTTGTATGGGCGTCATAGGCAGGGACAAGTCGCCGTCGCCGACTGGTCGTTGGCAACTCGCCGTCGGGCAATCTCGCCATCGGTCAACTTGCCGTCGGTTAACTCGCCTTCACCGGAAACAAAATAAAGATGATTTTTTTTAAATATTTAAATCTAACACTTTTATATGTCTATAACTGCAATCAGTTTAGTCATATAATATTATTTTTTCTATTTCGGTGTTACAATGAGAATTTTGTGCAACTGTTTTCGGCAAAAACAGAGTTTCAATGAGTTCCATTGTAACATTGTTTTTGGTAACTTTTCATCTCTTAAGTTGGCAGTTCGCCAAGACGTCAACGTCAAATCATCAGATGTGAAATCAAATTACGTACCTACGTAAAATTTATGCGTTTTCCTTGATTTTTGGTACACGAAGAACTTAATACATTCCAAATCAGCAGTTGACACATCCACCATAAATAAATTTATCTACGAGTAAAAAATTACACATTCACGGAATTTAAAAGTTTCCAAATGTCAGTGTTGTGTTTATCTACGTTGCCAACTTAACATTTGTCAACGTAAATGGTGTTGCCAACTTAAGACAGTTAAGACATATTAATTCTAAAGTTTCTTGTAGTTTTTGATAATTACATTTCAATTAAATTAAAGTCCCGAAATAGAAAAAATAGTATGAAAAACACGTGTTACAATGCTTTATTGTAATACTCCTATCTTGTGGACACTCGTGGCTCCGCTTCGCTACGCCACTCGTGTCACAAGATAGTCGTATTACAATAGGTCGCATTGTAACACTTGTCTTCCAATATACTATTTTCTATTTCGGTGTCAAAAGGATGATTTTGTACAACTGTTTTCGGCCGAAAACAGGTTGTACAAAGACAGTGATTATAGTCGTTTTTTTTTTGGTAACTCATCTCTTAAGTTGGCAGTTACTAGTAAGTACAAGTAGGTACTTCGTTGGGTACTTCCATGTTTGAACCTCAAAATGTCAGTCTTACTACGCTGCCAACCTAAAACTTAACGGCATAAAAAGTCCCAACATAAAACATGTTAGTTCTAATGTTCCCTATAGTTTCTGATAATGATTTTTTTTAATGAATTAAAGCACCGAAATAGAAAAAATAGTATGAAAAACGCATGCTATAATGCTTTATTGTAATACTCCTATCTTGCGGACACTCGTGGCTACGGTTCGTGTCGCCACTCGTGCCACAAGATAGTCGTATTACAATAGGTCGCATTGTAACACTTGTCTTTCAATATACTATAGCAATCTCGTTTCATCATTGGAATGGTGTAGTTATTTGCAGTGTTGTGTAAGATCCTTTAATTCTGGATCTAGATAGAGATCCAGATACATTTAAAAATCATGATTTGATCCAGTTCCAAGAGCCCCCCAAAACGATCTAAATCTTTTTATCGTATGCAAAATAGCAAGAAAAATTGTACCTAAACCGTTGTGAAAAAGACCTTCCTTAAAAATTAATAACCGCCTACACCCTTTTAAGAATTCACACCAGTTGTAAATTATAATTGCACTTCGGTTTTCGTCCTTGGACATTAAAGTATGTTATCCTTTCTTTCTTCTAATGCTAACAGACTAATCCTTTACCCGTACCCGTCGTAAAATACACGGATTGATTGATAGTGATATTTCGGAATATCTTAGGGGGTTAGCCCATAATTATGAAATGTAAATGTATAATGTATACCTAACCAAAAATATTTTTGTAATTTTAGAGTGTTTTGTTTGATAAGAACAAACTGATTGCACTTATAAACATTTAGTAGTATTTTTTATTATTTATTCTGCTGACGGCGAGTTTGCCCGACGGCGAGTTTGTTCGACGGCGGGTCGGCGACGGCGAATCGCCAACGGCCAGTCGGCGACGGCGAGTTGTCCTAGACCCGGAAAACTCGTGGCGACGCATTTACAAAACATAACCTGTCTGATTCACGTGTGACTTTAGTGAGATGTAAGTGCAAGTCCACATGTGCAGGTAATGTAGTTGTAAAAAAAATAAGCTAGTGCTGTGATCTCTGCTCCTGTAACTGTTGAATTAGGTGTTGACTCATGTACTCTGTTCCTTTATTAAGGGGGGGGGGGGTGATTATCACTATGCTGTCCTATTTCGTCAGTTTACAAAATAAATATATATGATATATATCTATTATAAACATATAAACATATTATAAACATACATATATTAAATAAATCGCTTGGCACGCGGTCTACACATTGTGGATTGCACAACTCTGAAATGTCAACCACGACAGCCCAAAAACGTCAAAAGGACGTCGTCTGTACATGATCAGGCACTTCTCGACCTCGTAGCGGAGCAAGATCAGGTCCCGCGCTGGTATGGATTTCATATGTCCATGCGTACCAAATCAAATGAGCTCCACAGTGGACTCAACCGGCAAGGTTTAGAGACGTCCTGAAACACGGTATTTCGGGAAAATTGACCCTTAAAGTTCGGCAACCCCATGCACGATCCCAGTCACAGGGGTACACTTGGCAACACTTCTTAAAAGTTATCTCTGGGTATGTACTTCATGTGTGCAAAAGCTCGATCCAGCAGAATAAAATGCAAGGTTGGCTCCCCTAGCCCCCGTACTAACATGGTCAACGTTCGCCTAGAAGTCAGCAAGGGACCCACTTCAAAGGATATTCTCCAGGAAAATTTGTAATAATGTATGGAGTAGGTATAGGGAAGTTCGACATATAATCATTGTATTTATAAATACAATGATATAATGTGTACGAACCACGTGACAAAGCAACGAAAATTGTAAGCAAAGGTTCGCGTTCGCCTAGTTGGCATGTAATGTGGGGCCGGATTTATATACTTGTTTCACTGGTGCTGAACCTGACGTCATA